GATGTATTCAGGTATTTGTCTTCAATCTCATTAATTCTGTCTTCCATTGCATCAATTCTACCCCTTTGTCCTTCCAATGTGTTATCTATTTCTGACAATTTATTATTAATCTTCTGGATTTCTATCTGTAGATTTAGAATCATTTCTAATTTTTTTATTTATTTTGTCATTTTGTTCTGGTATTTTCTTCCAAAATTCTTGTAAGATTTTTTTCTGTATTTTCTTGGTCTGTCTCTCAGTCCTTTGAAGATACCTAAATATAATTCTTTTGAATTCCTTATCAGAGATTCCAATGCTGCTTCTTCCTCAGGGATGTTTTCTGGGTCTGTATCCTGTTCCTTTGTTTCTATCACTTTATCTTGTTTCTTTGTGTGGACTGTGATGATCTGTTGTCTCCAAGGCATCGTGATATTGTATTAAGATTGCTGTTAATTGTTTGTGAAGAGAAGCCAATGGTGATTCAGGGTCTTCTTGGTGGTTTTTATCATTGCCCCATTGGTGGAGGAGGTGCTGGCTCTTGCTCAGTAAGTGAAGTTGCAGGAGTGTGTGTGTACTTGTATCTTATGCGGACTGTTGCTTTCTCCCACTCAGTTAGACACAAATTACAATTGAATAACGATAAAAAACTAAAATCACATGGACAAAAAGTACACCCTGTAATCCCACAGGAACAGTAACCCAAAAAAAGAAAAAGGAGAGAAAAAAAGAAGAAAACCTACAGTATCTGAGGATAGTGTACTAAGAGAAAAAAGGTAGAGAAGGAAAATAATAAAGAAAAAATGTGAAAAATGAAAAAACAAAACAATGAATGGGGTTAACCACAAGGAAAAAAAAAAGGGAAAAAAAGGTATAAACTAGGACCTTTTCAGTCATGCAGGTCTGGAGAGTTCTTTGGGTTACTGAAAAACAGAACCTCTTCTTAAGCCCCTGGAATCTGGTAGAGCACTGTCTCTTTAGGTTGTCTCTAACTGCTGGTTATGTGTTGATTTGTTTTGCTTTGGTTTTATGGTTTAATATTTTGAAAAGGTGAAGCTAGTGTATTTTATTTTATTATTGATTCAGGTATGTTGTGTCACTCTGCTGTTTTCTTTGTGTTGGTGGAATCACTGTGTGGAATGTGGATATGTGTTTCTGTTTGTTGTAAAGAGGGTTTAGAGTTCAAAGCAGGAGGTTTTATGGTAATTGGCTGAATATGGTTTCTTCCATTGAATGAGTGAAGTTATTGGTGGAGTAGGTGGAAGCAGAAGAAGGAAAGCTTGGCGTTGCTAGGGTTGGTTTCTAGGGCTTTGCACAGGCTATTATTGATGGTGTAGTTATTTATAAGACTGCAGCTCAATCTCAGGAAAGATTCCTGTTGTTAGGGAGTTGCCACTTTTCGCCAGACTCAGGAACACTCAAAGACCCTGCTTCCAAGGCCCCTCGGTATCAAAAAGCCAATCCAAAGCAAATTCCCATGACTGCACTCAGTCACGGCTTCCTCTCTCTCTCCCCACCCCATTTTCCCATGGCACTGGTGCAATCCCACCAGACCGCTAATGGCTTGGGAATTTGTCTGTGATACTGCCCAGCTGTGGCACCAAAGATGTGCACAATTTCAGCTGTGTTGGATTTGGGGGAGTACCTGCTAGTAAACTGTGGTTCCAATATCAGTGACAAAGATAAGCACAATGTCTCCCAGACTGACCCAAGCCCACTCAGTGACCTGCTGAATGGGGAATGAGCTCACCCTCCTGGTGCAACAGTGAACTCTCCGCTTGAGTTTCAGTGGTGCGGCGTATGCCTGTTTGGACTTAGGTGACCCAAATTACCGATATAATCAGGTGCTGGAGGCACATCCTTGGGGTTGTTTGCTGGGATGTTGGAGTGGTTGCTGGTATGCTGATATAGGGTGTCTTCTATCTTGGTTCACAGGGATCTCAGGTGGCTGCCCTTGCCTGCCAGTCAGTTTCCAATGACCTATCTAGGCTGCCCATTCATCCTCCTCCAGGTAGCTCTTTCTTAAATAATCTCCCTGTGCCTTTCCTCTAATTCTGCTCTTCTGTGTTTGATGCACTCTGATTCAGTGAGCTGTTCAGAGCACCAAAATCCCTAATTCAAACTGCTATACCTAGTTTTTCAAGCACTTAGATGCTAGAGGGAAATAGTGTGGTGCTTACTGACAAAATTCCATTTTTAATCCCCTTTGGGAACTTTTTGAGACTAGATGCCACCTTTGAGATTTTGATCCAGGAAGTCTTTAGTGAGACCCTGTTGTCTGCACTTTCAAATTCATCCTGGAGATTCTGAAGAGAACCATAGCTTGGACAGCAGAGACACATGGTGCTTGCTTCTATCTTATAAATGACAAACATCATTTCTTCCCATTTCCTAGCAATGTGTGTCTCTCTCCATCTTGGTCCCCACTACTGATGCCTTCTCTTTCCTCAGGGAGACTCTGGAGGCCCCCTTGTCTGTCAAGTGAACAATTCCTGGTTCCTGCTGGGGCTATCGAGCTGGAGCTTGGACTGCCGGAAGCCCATATACCCCAGTGTCTTCACCAGGGTGCCCTACTTCTCCTCCTGGATCCAAGAGGTCGAGAGGGCCACACCCATTCCTGATCCTGCATCTGCTCCTCCTCAGGGTGTCCCACCTTCTGTGACCCACCCTAACTCTATGGGAACTGTCTACATTCCCTGGACCTGCACAGCCCTTGTGCTTTCACATATCTTAATCCTTCTGTCTGTGTTCCTCAGGACTGTATGCCCTGTGGTACAACCTCCTAGCCTCTTCACATGCCTACATCAAGCCTGATAAAACAAAAAGTAATTTGAAAGCTTTCTGATCCTGTTTCTGAGGTGTAAATGCCATTCCACATGCCACTGTGCTTCAAACTCCTTGGTAGATGGAGGAGGTCCCCATTTTGGACAAGAAGAACTGCCTGGCCCCCATGGGTAAATCTAGGTGAGGATGCCCATTGACTACTCAGGATGCACAGAGGGGTTGAAAAGTTGTGTTTCATGAACCCAGACTCCACCCCTACCCTTGAGAGTGTACCACAGCCTTCCAGAGAGCAGGCCATACCTCAGGGATCTACAAACAGAAGACTAGTTCTAGGCCCTCAGCTAAGTACAGGAGATGGCATATCTGAAGGTTCAAATGGAGGCTGAGAGCAGTGTAACAATGATAGATCCTTCTGGTGCTGGATAATTAGAAATGAACTAGAGTGAGACTATCTTTTATTCCCACAGGTTACAGAGTCTCTGCTTGAAAAGTGGGTTAGAAGTTGACTGCAAAGGTCCCTGGAAATCAGATTGAAGTCTTAGGTTAGCACTTCTAATCCTTTTCCCACCTATGCCAATAGCCACACCCCCTACATCCCAGATCTTAAGAAGCCAGGCTTACCCACCTCTGTGAATGTGCTCCACCAGCTGAGCCCAGGCCAAGCCTGTGTCATACACTTACTGTGGTTGAGGCTTGGCTGACCCAGCACTTGCTGGCCCACCACTGATACTGTAAGTCCTGTCCTGGGCTGCCCTTCCTGAAAACCTGTCTGGGTCACAGAATATTAACTAGCTAGTGAGACTGTCAGAAAGACTGCACAATCTCAGCCCTACACAGCTCAAACCATCAATAATAAGGGAGCAGTTTACTGAAGATCTGCTTTATACCAAGTGTCATCTAGATGTGCTGTAAAAGTTCTTTCAATCCTACTTCACCAAACCACTGCCATCAAGTTGTTTCCAATTCATAACAACCCTATAGGACAGAGTAGAACTTCCCCATAGTGTTTCCAAGGCTGTAAATCTTTTCAAACCAGACTTTCTCATCTTTCTCTTGTGGAGTGGCTGGTGGTTTTGAACTGCTGAATGCCTTAACCATTGGTCCACCAGAGTGCCTCAATTCTACTGCCTTCAAATAGCCCAAACCCTCACAGCAGGTGGGAACAAGTGGAGTCACATGCTTAAGATCACCAGAACTTTGTTGCCTCTAAATGCTGTGCTTCTCATGCAGAGATTCCCTTCCTGCTGAGAAACTGCTGAGCTAAGTTTTGTGCCCATCAGTAGGGTATGGCCTTAGGAGCTCAGTACTATCAGGTGAAAAAGAAAGCATTCCCTCCTTTGCTGGTTAAGTCAGCCTGGGCTCCACAGTATGGTTTCTTGGGTCCCTGAAGTGGGAGTCAGCATGAGCTACCCTATTGTCCCTAGAACTGTCACTTTCCTCCAAACCATGGTAACCTCATGCTTGCTTTGGCAGACTTATTTCATGTGGTAAATTCTGTTTGGTGACCCTGGCTTCTGCTTTGGGCACAAACAGTCTAATCCATCCAACAGAACTTTGTAAGTATGGAGCATGGAGTTATGTAATTTCCTGCCTTTCTATACAGTTCCTTGGGCCGCCTCTATCTCAGTGGATGCAAATACACACTTTGTCAGCACTGTAGATCTGCTAATCAAATCTCCAGCCCATCCTATTTCCCTATTACCTGGAATCAACATAAATACCCAGTACTATTATCCAGTTTTAGTCTTGTTTTTCAGATACAGAACCTGAAGCCTTGCATGACTAAGTAACCAAGATAGTGAATAGTGGAACAGGAATTCATAACCTGATCTCTGGGTGGTACTAAGAAATATTTCTTCTCTTGATGAATGCAGGGTGCTCCCAGATGCCTCAGATCTTGTATCAAGTATGTTTGAGAGGCTTAGGCTGGACTGTCCCTGTGCAGCCCAGAATTCCCCCAGGTTGGGCAAGGAAAGATCCCAGTAACAAAGTTGAGGTCAGGATGAAGAGTGCACCTGCAGGGTCAAAGATTCTGGGTCTAGGGGTTGCTGAGAATGGCCACAGCAGGAGACTTCACCAAATCCATGATCAGGAGGCTCCCCAGAACTCCAAATGGTGTACAGGTGAGGACAAGCTGTGGAGATGAGAAGAAACTGTGGATTTCAGGAACTAATCAAAAGCTTTGAGAAAACTGGGGAAAGTAAAGAATTTTCTTCATTCCTCATGTTACTGAGAGTGATAAGTGGCTGCAGCTGGGTGTGGAGGATAGTGACAGCTCAAAAAAGCTTTTTATATCTCCCTCTCTTGCCTTTTCCCACCCCATGGCCTTGATAAATGTTGCTTAATCCTTTATAGGTGCCAGTGTAGCAGGGAAGTGCTATCAACCATTGTGCAGGCTCTGCCAGGGAGAGTTGTTGATGAGGGTAGGTGTGGTCCTGTCACCCCCCATTGAGCATGTGTTCCTCTATTCCTCCTCTTCCAAGTCCCCAGGTGGGGAGAAGTGTGTTTATTACCTGGGAATATTGTCTCCATTGCGATTTCTTCTAAGGCTTTAAAGTTGAAATCCTGAGTTGCCAAGTCATAGAGCAGTATGGTGGAAAAGTTAAAAGAGGTTTTTTGGTGCATGGAGCCATTTGCTTTGGTGCCATCTTCTTGAACTCACTATGATTTCAATCCTCAGAAGGAAAGTTGGGCAATCTACTTCTATAGTGATACCATTTTGGAAACCCAAGGAGGGGTCACTATGAGTCGGATCCAACTCAACAGCAGTGAGTTTGGTTTTTTTGGCATGGTACACATTACCAAAAAGAGTGACAGAGTAGCTGCTAACCCTTGAGGGACGTATCAAAATAACGACACACTTCAGACTTATTGCCACATGAGAAACACAAGAAGCTGTACAACATAATTATTTGCAATTGTTATTGGAAGAGACAAACAAAAAATTTAAGTAACAACAATAAAATCCTCATGGATAGGGGATTTAAAATGGAGTCTCACCAGTAATCACCATACTTTTTCCCTCTAGCATCTTAGTGCTTGAAAAACTAGGTATAGCAGTTTGAATTAGGGATTTTGGTGTTCCGAAGAGCTCACTGAATCAGATTGCACCAAACACAGAAGAGTAGAATTAGAGGAAAGGCACAGGGAAAGAAATTAAAGATCTACCCGGTGGAAAGTGGACAGGCAGCTGAGAAAGACCGTTAGAGACTTCCTGGGGGAGTGACCAGCAGGTGAGAACAGCCACCTGAGACCTCCCTGGGTCAAGCCAGAAGACACCCCATATCAGCATACCAGTGACCACACCAACATGCCAGCAAACACAACAAGGATCTACCTTCAGCATCAGATTTTATCAATAACTTGGGTCGGCTAAGTGCAAAGGGGCACATGTAGCACCACTGAAACCCAAGCAGAGAGCTCACTGGTGCTCCAGGAGAGTGAGCTCACTCTCCCCTCAGCGGGTCACTGAATACACTTGGGTCAGCTTGAGTGGCACCAAGAGGTCTGTGCTTATCTTTAGCACTCATATCGGGACCATGGATTACTAGCAGGCACTCTCCTGACTCCAGCACAGCTGAAACTATGCACATCTTTGGCACCATATGTGGGCAGACTAATAGACAAACTCCCGAGCAGATCGTGGTCTGGACAGGTTGGGCCAGCACTGTGGGCAGGCGGGATGGAGAGAGAAACATCCGCAGCCTAACATGGACCCAGGAACTTGTCTTGGCTCAGCTTTTAGGCACAAAGGGGCCTCGGGAGCAGGGTCTTTGTGTGTGTCTGAGCCTGGTGGAAAGTGGTGACACCGTAACAACGGGAATCTTTCCTGAAATTGAGCCACAGACTTGTAAATAACAATACCACTTCATCAGTAGCAGCCCACTCAAAGCCCTAAAACTGATCCTACCAACAGCAAGCTTTCCTTCTTCTGCTCCCAGGTTTTCCACCAATAACTTCACTCATTCAATAGAAGAAACCATATTCAGCCAACATAAAATCTCCCAGTTTGAACTCTAAACCTTCTTTACGACAAACAGAAACCCATATCCATATTCCACACACTGATTCCACCATCACAAAGAAAACTGCTGAGTGACTCAGCATACCTGAATCAATAATAAAATAAAATACACCAGGTTCACCTTTTCAAAATATTAAACCACAAAATCGAGACAAAACAAATCAACACATAACCAACAGTTAAAGACAACCTCAAAATGTCTAGGAAACAAGAGGCAACCTCAAATCAAATAAAC